GTAAAAGTTCTTTCTGCACTGAGAAATGGCCTGGACTGAAAGGGGTGCAGCATGTTCGTATTGAGGCGGTTCATCAGTGTTAGGAGTTGGAATTTTACTGACTGTAAGCCAACAAAGCCTGACACATATACACAGTTCACAAATACTCAGCGAGTCTTAACACCCCCTGACCCCTCTGACATTATACAGGGCATCAAACTGTAGTTGGCTTGCCAGTGTGACATCCAATTATTATACCCAATTTTCAGCCGAGAATTGGGAATAACTACTGGCATGGCCACAGCAGAAGGTTCTAAAGAAATTATTTGATGGACTCAAATCACCAACTAAAATACATAAAACGGAGAAAAAAAAAAAAAAAGAACCCAGCACAGAACCGTCCAACATTTCAGTTCCTGTCCCTCGTTCAGTATTCCATCGCTGGAGTGAAAAAGCCAACTTAATCAAGATGTTTGTGATTTCCAGTTCAAGGGCTGTTACTACGACACCGAGCGGCGGCAATCAAGCAGAATCTATTAGCGCAGCAGTGAGCTGTGAACCACCATGAACTCCGCGACATCTTCAGCTCCATCAAAAATGATTCCAGCGTGAAATTGGAAAATACACAGAAATTATTAGGGAAAAGTGACGCCCTAAACACTGGGACCTCACATTAAAATGTATAAAATCAATAAGGAAGCGTGAAAGTATCAGCAAATTATATTAACACTGTATGCAGAAAAATTACTTTTTGCAGCATTAATGAAGAAGTCCTTGTGGGACCTAAAGCCTGAACACCTTAAATCACATGGGGGGTGTCTCTAAAAACTGTAGCACTCAGGATCTGATGCAGCTGTGCACGGCTACCAATCAGCTTTTTGCTTTTGACAATAAAAACTGGAAGCTGATTGGTTTTATGGCTAACTGACCACCAATTTTAAACTCTTCAGTTTAGTAAATAACGCCCCCTCCCATGATAGATGTCTGGGGCAAACAAGTATTTAAACGTAAAAGCCACCGGTTTGCAACTTGAACGCCCCCCTGATAGATAGATAGATAGATAGATAGATAGATAGATAGATAGATAGATAATAGATAGATAGATAATAGATAGATAGATAGATAGATAGATAATAGATAATAGAAAACAGATCCATAATAGATAGCTAGATCTGGAAAGAATTTATTAGATAATTAGATGGTAGATAATAAGTAGATAGTGAATATGAAAGATAGTTCATGATAATAGATAATAGTTATATAGATCCTTTGTTGGATAATGACAGATCAGAGTTTAATGGATAGATAGATCATAATAGTTAGCACACTGTTAGCTGGTAGATAGATAGATAATAGATCCTAATAGATAGATAGATAGATCTAGATAGAGCAGATGATAGATTTTAGGGGCTGTCGCTGGCAATACGGACTTTCAACTCCCTCCATAGGTTAGATCTATAGATAGATAGATTGATAATAGATGGATAGACTAATAGGCCACTCCAGAGACCTTGAAGATAGATGCTTCTTAGAAGATACTTAATTCGTTGCCCGGGCGGATAGATAGTTTGGGATAGATAATAGATAGATGATAGATAGATAGACCCAGCCATAGATAGATAATAGATAGATAGATAGATAGATAGATAGATAGATAGATAGATAGATAGGAATAGATGCATCAAAATCTACGATAGATAGATAGATCCAGATAGATAATCTGTCCTGTATATGGATCAGATCGATAGTCCCTTTGCGGACAAACAGCCCCAAAGATAATAGATAGTTGCCATCCCCATAGATACATAGATAATGATGTTAGATGGATGCAACTAGCATCCTCCAAACATAGACGAGTTGATAGTTAATAGATAGATAATAGTTCTATTTTAGTAGATAATAGATACCATATGACATTCTCCCAATCCTCTAGATGGATAGATAGAAATAGCTCTAGATAGAAACTTCAGACGGATAGAAGATAATAGCTTCAGCAGATAGATAATAGTAGATGGCAATGCATAGATCTGAGTCCCTAGATAGATAGATAGATGTTACTGATAGATAGATGTTAATAGATTGATCCCAGCTCTAGATAGCATAGGTAGATCACTAGGTAGATAGTAGATAGATAGATAGATAATAGATAGTAATAGGATAGATAGATAGATAGTTAGATAGTAATAGATCATTTTGATACGGGGTAGAGATCTTGCGTGGAGCCCCAGATCGAGGGAGATTATCAGTGGTCTTGTATGTCTTCCCATTAAAAAATTATTGCTCCCAAGTTGATTTGTTCACACCAAGCTGCTTGCCTATTGCAGATTCAGTCAATCCCAGCCTGGTGCAGGTCTACAATTTTGTTTCTGGTGTCCTTCGACAGCTCTTTAGTCTTCACCATAGTGGAGTTTGGAGTGTGACTGTTTGAGGTTGTGGACAGGTGTCCTGCACTTTATACTGATAACAAGTTCAAACAGGTTTGCCATTGATACAGGCAATGAGTGCAGGTCAGAGGAGCCTCTTAAAGAAGAAGGTACAGGTCTGTGAGAGCCAGAAATCTTGCTTGTTTGTAGGTGACCAAATACTTATTTTTCCACCATAATTTGCAAATGAATCTCCAATATCAAGCCAATGTGATCGTCTGGATTTGTTTTCTCATTTTATGTCTCTCATAGTTGAGGTCTCCCTATGATGCCAATTACAGGCCTCTCTCATCTTTGTAAGTGGGAGAACTTGTACAATTGGTGGTGACTAAATACTTTTTTGCCCCACTGTACACACACACATATATATATATATATATATATATATATATATATATATATATATATACATATATATATATATACACACACACACACACACACACATACATATACACATATACATACACACACATTATACATACATACGCACACATACACATGCTATTCATGGTGACAAGATTATACAACACTGATAAGAGATTGCGTTCAAATGTATGTAAATCTCAAAAAAAAAAAAAAAAAAAAAAAAAAACACAATCTCTCTTATTTGCTCCCTTCTGGTCCATTACATACTGTATACACCGATCATCGGTAACATTATGACCACAACCTGTCAAGGTATGGACTCCACTAGAGCTCTGAAGGTATGCTGTGGTATATGGCACCATGCCGTTTGTAGAAGATCCTTTGGTTCTGTAAGTCGTGAGGTGGGGCCACCATGGATCGGATTTTTTCCAGCACATTCCATAGATGCTCGATTAGATTGAGATCTGGAAATTTTGGAGGCCAAATCAACACTTCAAAACCATTCTTGAACTCATCAGACCAAGCCACCTTCTTCCATTGCTCGAAGGTCCAGTTCTGATGCTCACGAGCCCATTCTATGTGCCTTTGGCTGTGGACACGGGTCAGCATGGGCACCCTGGCAGCTATGCAGCCCCATAAACAACAAACTACGATGCTCTGCGTGTTCTGACACCTTTGTATCAGAACTAAATTTTTCAGCTACAGCAGGTCTTCTATTGGATCAGACTACATGGGCCAGCCTTCGCTCATGCATCAATGAGCTTTGGCCGCCATGACCTGGTCCCTGGTTCACAAGCTTTCCTTCCCAGGACCACTTTTCCTGACCACTGCAGACTGGGTATGTCCCACAAGAGCTGCAGTTCAGGGTTTGTTTCAATTGTGTACTTGTTGCAATGTTTTGTTTTATGATTGTGCCATTCTGTCCATCCTACAGTTATAGAATATGAATCCCATAAGAAATTAAAGATGTGTTTTGCCTGCTCACTCATATTTTCTGGTACATCCTATATATTGCCAATTCTCCAAGGCAAATGTTTGAGCACAACTGTAATAAATTTTATTCACTTTACCTGTCAGTGGTCATAATGTTATGGCCGATTGGTGTATAATTGAAAGCATTTTGTTATATCTGTTTGATAGGTGCAAGAAAAAAAAATACTTGTTGATCCAGAAATCTTGTCAGCAGGTAACTAAGTGTGCCCCCTTCCTTTAAAAAGCCTAACTACATTAATACAAACTATTTACTAAAACTAAAAAGTTAGTAGTGCTTACTTGCCTGCTTCTTGCAGCATGTCTGCAGTTCCTCGACTCAAAAATCTGCAGTCATTTAAAAAACTACCATCGTCAGCCAGCCCTACGCTTTCTTATTCATAGCTGGCCCACCAATGACATTTACACCCATCTCACATAAGGAATGGACAACATTACACCTACAGTGGGGAAAATTATTATTTGGAGTCCATAATTGTTATCATGGGTGTATTTTAAATGATAGAGACAGAAAATCTACCAAAAATCCAGAAAAAAAAAAAAAACACACAATACAAATGTCTCCTTCCTTGAAATCCCAATTTAGAAACATGATCTCCCTGGAAGGCACCAATGATGTAGCCTTCCCAAGGTGCATCTGATTGACCTCCCATTTGAACGTGCCTGCATAGTTCCAGGACCAAAACCACTTGACAAACCCAGCAGCATGATACCCGTTTATTTTCTTTTCACCTGTAAGGTCTGTAAGGATGGTATTGTGACCTCCATTGTAAAGGATGTGTTTGCCCCACTGACCACTAACGCAAGGAGCATTCTTCCAACTGGCCTACAATGTAAAAAGCATTCTTCCCACCGACCCCCAATCTAAGGGGCTTTCTTCCCACTGGCCCCCAATCTAAGGGGGCATTCTTCCCACCGACCCCCAATCTAAGGGGGCATTCTTCCCACCGACCCCAATGTAAGGGGCATTCTTCCCACCGACCCCCAATGTAAGGGGCATTCTTCCCACCGACCCCCAATCTAAGGGGGCATTCTTCCCACTGACCCCCAATGTAAGGGGGCATTCTTCCCACTGACCCCCAATGTAAGGGGCATTCTTCCCACCGACACCAATGTAAGGGGGCATTCTTCCCACTGACCCCCAATGTAAGGGATATTCTTCCCACTGACCCCCAATGTAGGGGGCATTCTTCCCACTGTCCCCCAATGTAAGGGGATATTCTTCCCACTGACCCCAATGTAAGGGATATTCTTCCCACTGACCCCCAATGTAAGGGACATTCTTCCCACTGACCCCCAATGTAAGGGACATTCTTCCCACTGACCACCAATGTAAGGAGACATTCTTCCCACTGACACCAATGTAAGGGACATTCTTCCCACTGACCCCCAATGTAAGGACATTCTTCCCACTGACCCCCAATGTAAGGGACATTCTTCCCACTGAGCCCCCAATGTAAGGGACATTCTTCCCACTGACCCCCAATGTAAGGGGCATTCTTCCCACTGAGCACCAATGTAAGGGACATTCTTCCCACTGACCACCAATGTAAGGAGCATTCTTCCCACTGACCTCCAATGTAAGGGACATTCTTCCCACTGACCCCCAATGTAAGGAACATTCTTCCCACTGACCCCCAATGTAAGCAAGCATTCTTCCCACTGACCCCCAATGTAAGGGACATTCTTCCCACTGACCACCAATGTAAGGGACATTCTTCCCACTGATCACCAACGTAAGGGACATTCTTCCCACTGACCACCAATGTAAGGAGTGCTCTCCGCACAGAAACATTGGCCGCCAATGGACACACATGGCATGAGAGTGTCAAAGCTCACCCTCCTTTCCACTGCACATGTGTTACATGGGCTGCAAGAGGTTAACATCTCTGATGTTCTCCATCACACAGCAGATTTTCAGTGCATGCGTTCAGGTTCACTTTAACCGCATCATCAGCATTTACAGAAAGCCTTTGGTTGAGTCTATTCCAGCAGTTCTTAAACTTTCCCTGACAATAGTGCTTGGCACATGAACATTTTCTCAGCCACCCAAGTTCCTTGCCTTGAGCTTGCCTTGCGTAATATAAACGCCCAACAAGATTTGATATCACAAGACTGGAAGGCAGCACAGATGTGCGTCACAGCTCATAAAAATAACCAATTTCCCCCAACCGACACCTTCCCAGGATTTCCCCGACAGAGCAGACACAAATATGAACACAGAGGAAGGAACCTCTAACAAGCTCCCTGATCATATGAGACCATCCTGAGAAAGTGCTAATGACATCAACACATCTAAGAAGACCTGTCAATGACACTAATAATAACTGCACCAAGGGCTGAAGATGAAGGAAACATTTAAGAAGAAGAATTCCTTCACACACCCAACTCAAGAGCCATTATCTGATCATATGAGGCCTGTACTGAAATGATGCAAAAGTGGACAAATTATTTTTTATTAACTTACGCAGGTGTACAAATTTCATGTGTTGGTAGAGTAACTCTTCCTCTCGGTCATTGTAGACAAAAGATGGATTCCAAGCAGAAGCAATGTGCTGCCATTGAGTTCTTTACCTAGGAGGGACGCAGGCTGTCCAACATCCATAGAAAGCTACAGAATGTTTATGGAGAGGACACCATTGCATTGAACAATGTGCACACATGGGTGATGAAGTTACGCAGACCGTACGTAAATATGTGGCCTCTCGGAGGCTGGGCCTTGACGCCGAGCAGCCGTATATTTGCGTACCATTTGAAAACATATATGTGCTGAGAGCGCGCACCCTGCACGCTCCCAGCATATATGTTGGTATCTCACAGAAAGGTTCAGATCTCTCCTTGCGATCGGGACCTTTTCCGATCATGTGACAGCGAATCACAGTGGTCACGATCCTAAAACCCCGCCCCGCCTCCCGGCGTCAAAGCCCTTGAAGGGCCGGGATAGGTTAAAACGGAGTTCCACTCAACCTATCAAAAAAATAAAAGTCAGCATCTACATAAACTGCAGCTGTTGACTTTTAAAAAACAGCCACTTACCTGTCCCTCGGTCCCGTGGTGTGTCCCCTGCAGCCCGTTTCACCGGCCGTCCTGTATTCCAGGAGGCCGGCATCTTCAGTGTGGGCACCCGGCTGTGATAGCTTGCAGCTTCACAGCCGGGTATCCACTGCGCATGCGCGAGTAGCGCTGCTCTTTGTGAATGGTCCTGTAGTCTTCTGGGACCTGTCACGTGTCCCAAAAGACTACAGGGAGGGAGGACACCTTCCGCTTCCAATCACTTAGGCGACTGGACCAGAAGTGGGAGCGGGTACCTGTCAAATTCGGGTACCCGCTCCTACCCCCGCTCCCCAAAGGTGCCAATCCTTAATGGGGAGCAGTCCTTAAAGCAGAACTTCCCTTTTGGGTGGAGCTCCACTTTAAAGAAGGGGAAACCAGCATTGAAGACAAACCATGAAGTGGTAACCATCAACTCCAGACAGCCTGCACCTCTCCTCCATCAAGAGCTCAATGATGGCATGTTGCTTCTGCTTGGAATCCAATATTTACCTGCAGTGAAAAAGAAGAAGAGTTACTACAGAGGAAGATTTACTCCACCCTCTACTAACTTTACTCTACTGGGAAATTTGAACCTATATAAGTTCAGGAAAAAAAGTTACGCCCATTTTTGCATTACTTTTGGAAAATCTTCGTACATACATTGGCCAGATTGGCAAGAGGTAAAGTTAAAAACGTGTTCCAAGTGCATCTAAACCCACGAACAAAGCTGTAATATATTGAAGCCTACCTTAGATGGGGGTGGCTAAGTTAGTTTTCTTTTTTGCAGACTTTTCCCCTCTTTAATATCACATTGAGATTCCACCATTGAGAAGCTGTATACTGACCTCCATGCTACATTCATGGTTTGATGTTGCAGCTGCCTCCTGTGGGCTCTAAGACCAATAAGTGAGAGATCACATGTCAGCTAATCGGTCAGTTTTTGGTCACATATAAGCAGAGAGTGGTGACTGTCAGTCACTGCTCTCCCCCCTACAGTGCGCACTGGAGAGGAGCCCAGCGCTGACAGAGAATATTGTCAGGATCCTTCCAGAGGCTGGGGTGGCTCCCTGGTGTCAGCTGACTGCAAACTTTTGCCCACTGTCGGCTGATGATGGGTCACAGGAGAGCAAAAGTAAGTGTACTATTGTGACCCACAAGAGAAGTGTGACCAAAAAGCTTTTGCCTTTGACTTTGCATACTTCCAGTCATAGGGTAACATCACTCAAGGTACTGCATCTATAACAACATTGTCACCCTAGGAGACGACTACACAACACCTCCCCTCTCTGCCATAAGGTAGGGGGAAGTGTTCTGAAGTCCACAGAGGAAAACTGGGTGAAGTTTCAACTGATGGGGTAGGAAAGGACAGTGCAGGAAGTTACAGGCGCATAAAAAAAACAAAATTTGCAGTTTTAACTTCAACCATGCATCTGCTAGGGTATGCCAAAACATATGGTGCCACAGCACCATGTGACTCGGTGTGGCGAGATTTGGCAAAACGTTCAGAGACTTCATTTGCATCTCTCATGCCTAGGGAAGCCCAGTGAAATGGTCCATTCACACTTTGCAGGTTCAACCCCTTTTTTGGACATTCTTGTGCATCACGTATAGGGCAGGCCATACATTTCAATGGGCTGCCCTACAATGCCTTGAAACAGTATTTCTCCCCCTTGAAATTTTCCACATGTTGTCATGTTACAACCAAAAACGTCAATGTATTTATTGGGATTGGATGTGATAGACCGACACAAAGTGGCACATAATTGTGAAGTGGAAGGAAAATGAGAAATGGTTTTTCAACATTTTTAAAAAAATAAATCTGTGAAAAGTGTGGCGGCATTTGTATTCAGCCCCCCGGAGTCAATACTTTGTAGAACCCCTTTCCCTGCAATTCCAGCTGCAAGTCTTTTTGGGGATGTCTCTACCAGCTTTGCAAATCTAGAGAGGGACATTTCTGCCCATTCTTTGCAGAATCGCTCAAGCTTCGTCAGATTGAATGGAGAGTATCTGGGAACAGCAATTTTCAGGTCTGGCCACAGATTCTCCATTGGATTTAGGTCTGGACTGTGACTGGGCCATTCTAACACATGAATATGCTTTGATCTAAACCATTCCATTGTAGGTCTGGCTGGATGTTTCGGGTCGTTGTCCTGCTGGAAGGTGAACCTCCGCCCCGGTCTCAAGTCTTTTGCAGACTAACAGGTTTTCTTCTAAGATTGCCCTGTATTTGGCTCCATCCATCTTCCCATCAACTCAGTCCAGCTTCCCTGTCCCTGCTGAATAAAAGCATTCCCACAACATAATGTTGCCTACCCACCGCCATGTTTCACAGTGGGGATGGTGTGTTCAGGGCGATGTGCAGCGTTAGCTTTCAGCCACATATAACGTTTTGCTTTTAGGCCAAAAAGTTCAGTTTTGGTCTCATCTGACCAGAGCCCCTTCTTCCACATGTTTTGTTGTGTCCCCCACATGGCTTCTCGCAAACTGCAAACGGGATTTCTTGTTGCTTTCTTCCAACAATGGCTTTCTTCTTGCCACTCTTCCATAAAGGCCAGATTTGTGGAGTGCACAACTAATAGTTGTCCTGTGGACAGATTCTCCCACCTGAGCTGTAGATCTCTGCACCTCCTCCAGAGTTCCCATGGGCCTCTTGGCTGCTTCTCTGATGAATGCTCTCCTTGCCCGGCCTGTCAGTTTAGGTGGGCAGCCATGTTGGTAGGTTTGCAGTTGTGTCGTACTCTTTCCATTTTTGGATGATGGATTGAACAGTGCTCCGTGAGATGTACATAGCTTTTTTTTTTTTTTTTTTTTTAATAAACCTAGCCCTGCTTTAAACTTCTCCACAACTTTATTCCTGACCTGCCTGGTGTGTTCCTTGGCCTTCATGATGCTGTTTGTTCACTAATGTTCTCTAACAAACCTCTGAGGGCTTCACAGAACAGCTGTATTTATACTGAGTTCACATGACACACAGGTGGCCTCTATTTACTAATTAGGTGACTTCTGAAGGCAATTGGTTTCACTAGATTTTAGTTAGGGGTATCAGAGTAAAGGAGGCTGAATACAAATGCCACCACACTTTTCAGATATTTGTAAAAAAAATTTAGAAAACCATTTAATCATTTTCCTTCCACTTCCTAAATATGTGCCACTCTGTGTTGGTCTATCACATAAAATACCAGTAAAATAGATTTACGTTTTTGGTTGTAACATGACAAAATATGGAAAATTTCAAGGGGTATGAATACTTTTTCAAGGCACTGTATATGCCCACCTCATTGACACCAACCTCCTCGATCCACTACAGTCTGGCTTCCGTCCCCTACACTCCACCGAAACCGACCTACTCAAAATCACTAATGACCTGCTAACCGCCAAAGCTAATGGCCACTACTCAGTCCTTTTACTCCTTGACCTCTCCGCGGCCTTTGACA